TCCGAGTAACCAACCAATCAGTTTTGGTCTATTTTGATCTCATTCTTCGACCAATTTTTATGAATTCCCTCTATCTTCCCATCACCGCCTGCCCCCCCCCCCCCCCCCCCCGGTGTCGTCTCGCTCCCACGCACGGCGCTGCGGCTGCGGGCGCGGCGAGCGACAGAGACAGGTAGCGAGTAGACAGGTGGGTAGCGAGCGGCGGGCGAGCAGACGGCGCAGACGGGTGGGGAGCAGGCGGACGGCAGGCGGCACAGGTAAGCAGGGTGGCGAGGCGAGCGTGTCGTCCCGTCCGCCAGGGGCAGCGCCATGAGCCAAGCCAAGTCATAAAGGTGCATATAGCAAAAGGGACTCCCGATGGGCGAAGCGGGCCGGGCCGGGCTCAGGAACCGATGGCTACACGGCGGGTCTGAGAGAAAATGAGAAGCCCGATCGCACCCTTCCTTTGGGTTGTTATTTTGCCTACTTAAAGTTTCTGGGTGTTTCTCAAGTTTGTCTGTTTTTTATCGCGGATTTGCGTGCTCGGGGTAGGCAACCCGCTCAGCCGGTGGGCACTGCGCGGGGCGCGGGCCGCCAGGCGAAACTTGAGTCCTGCTGGTTGAGCAAGGTACAGAGGGTGTGTGCAAGACCCATCATTTGCGTGGGCATGCACTCCTATCGGCAACCGCCATGGGAGAAGATTAAATAAGTTACAATATTGAAGATTACACACGCATTTTCAAATGAAAGGGAGCGTGAGCTGCGACCGGCTCCACCACACTACGGGGACTGAGGTCGTTTAAAAGTCGAGATGATATGAGACTGTTTCGCGTCGAATTTGAAGACAAATATCAGAGAGTGTGCAGTCAAAGCACCAGATATAAAATTGTTGCAAGACTATGAAGGAAATACTCAACGACTGGGCTGGGAAGACCATCGCAAACGGCGCAAACATTGGTTGGCCAGAATGAAAGAGGGTGTTCGAAAAGCCAGCGACTCTCCGAACGCAGCCCATCCAAGTGTCAGTCCAAAGCGTTATCCAGATTCCGAAGACACCCTTTGGATTTGTTGTTGACAGCTGCCGTAATAGTGGACCGCGGCAAGCATGGATGAGAGCGCCGACGGGTATTACCTGGAGCTCTCCTCCTCGGTCGTCAAGTTCGACTCCGTGAGCAAAGTGACAAACGTGTTTTTCGATGACACGAACAAACAAGTGTTTGCCGTCCGCTCTGGTGGGGTTATGGGCGTCGTCGTCAAGGGTCCCTCCCCCGCGACTAGCACGGACTTCTGCATGGAGGACAAGGGCCCCGTTGTCTCCATCAAATTTTCCCCCGACCAGAAAGTGCTTGCCATTCAGAGGTCGAAGTCTTCGGTGGAGTTCATTAACTTCCTGTCTGGAGAGATGGACGCTGTGGAGTACTCGCAGAACTGCAAGGGGAAGAGTCACGTCATTCTGGGCTTCCTTTGGACTAATAATCGAGAGATACTGTTTGTGACGGACCACGGTGCAGAACTTTTCCAAGTTGTCCCAGAGAAAAAATCTCTGAAGGTACAGAAGACATTTAGTCTAGCAATCAATTGGTTTGTTTACTGTCCACAGACATGTCTTGTGCTTCTGTCCTCTGGCACTCTTGGCAATCAAATGTATCCCTTACACGTCAAACAAGGCAATATTAATAAATTATCACGGTTTGATGTTGACATTCCAGTGGTCCCAAAACCTCCTAAATTGTGCTTGTTGGAGAGGGACATCACTCTTGCCGTTCTCTATGGCGAGGCTAGTATAATCATCTTGCGACACAATCCACGAGGAACAGGATCTCCTGGAGCAGAAGTAGTTGTTTATACCCTTTTGAAAATGATGACAGCCAAAAAGACTCATGTTCTTAGGCTAGATTTGAGTGGGCGATTCGCTATTAACGTTGTTGATAATTTGATCATTGTCCACCATCAAGCGTCAAAAAAATCATTAATGTTTGATATTGCTATGCGTGGAGAAACAGATGGAATGGTAACTTATCATCAACCTGTTGTAGGGCTTCAGCCTATCAAACCATTTACCTTGTCTTTGCCCCCGGTACCCAGCCCAGTGCACACAGAACCTACACAAATAAATTGTGAGCTTTACTCACCTAATTGGGTAGTGTTTCAACCCAACATAATAATTGATGCCAAACTGGGATGCTTATGGGCAGTAGAACTGAATCTCCAACCACTGCTCACAATGATAAATGACAAATGCCTTCTTGTAGATTTTCTGATGAAAAGGGCTGATTCAAAGCCTGTTGTTATCCAAGTGCTGCAAGAAATCCTGGAACCAACTGTTCAGAATTACAGCCATCTTGTTGTTGTTGCAGAATTATTTGATCATCTCAATGAGGTTTATTGCAGTTTTTTGCAATCAGAAATGCAAAGCCATATAGGCACACCTGCTTCATCCTCTTTAAGTGTATCACCTTCAAAGCTGCCCCCTTTATCACCCAAACCATGGATTGTAATAGATCAATCAGATATGTATACAAATGTTTTCTCAAAATTTGTAGACCGCTCAAGGGAGTTGGAAGAAGGGAGTTCGGGCAAGTTTGAAGTTTGGGTGTTACTGGAGTACATCAGATCATTAACTGATTTTCACATACCAGTTCAGCACTATCTCTATGAACTTCTCATAAATTCCCTAGTTCAACATCAAGCCTACTATCAACTTCATCAGCTTCTTCAGTATCATGTTGTCTCTGATTCAAAACCCTTGGCATGTTTGCTGTTATCTCTAGAGAGTTTGTATCCTGCTGCACACCAACTAGCTCTTGATATGTTAAAACGCCTCTCTACTGCAAATGAAGAAATTATAGAAGTATTGCTCTCCAAGCAGCAAATATTACCAGCATTACGCTTTGTTAACAGTGTAGGTTCCGTAGACCAAGTATCAGCTAGGAAATTCCTGGATGCAGCTAAAGCAACTGGAGATCAGAATGTTTTTATTGGTGTGTTTAAATTCTTTGAGCAGAGAAATTTGAGATTAAAAGGTACAACAGCATTTGCTAAGGGTGAACATTGCGATATTTATGTGAAACATTATGCCAGTTTAAGTTCTGAACAAACTGTATAGCAAATATTCGCCTTTATAACTGTGATTGTGGACAAATGAGTGTTATATTAATTTCTCTTCCAGTATTAAGTTGAAATGTTTTAACAGAGTCAATGTAATTGCTGTGATTATTTGTTATAATGTGAAAAATATGTGATTTTCTTTGAACAAATGTTTATTATTTTTGGGCTCCTCTTCAAATACTGTAACATGTTTCAAAACACAATCTTTATGATACAAACATTTATTGCTCGTAAGAAAGTTACAATATGAATGTCATTTCATACGTAAATCTTAATTGAAATCTAAAACACAAACCTGTCGAAGGATGATTTAATTAAAATGATCTACTAAGTCAAATAATGGCTATACACGAAATAAATTTATCTTTAAATGAGCACAGAATCATGAGCAGGCAAATGACCTTTGTCCTTGAGCTTGAAGACCCAAAAGTACCTTGTTGATTAGATGAATTCGTCCGGTTCCCTTGGAGCATCCAAATCTCGGTAGTGAATAACAGGCCTGTAATCACTGCCACCACCCCTGTCAGACAAATACAGCAAATGAACACTGAACCCAGGGGAGACTGGGCGATGCATGAAAATTAACTACTGTGTAATGAAGTGATTAATGTTGGCAAACTACATCTAATGCACTACACACTTTGGACCACAGCCTTAAGTCATTCTGAGAAAGTACCTGGGGGCTCAGACCTTTTCCCACAAATGCTTTTCAAAAATAACTTTGAGTCCTTTGAAGCTAGGCGGTGTTATGCTCAAGTGAATGTTCTATGTGGGTTTATCTTTCACATCCCCATTGATGGGCCGTGACTTTATAAACTCATTAGAATATTCAGGGAGAAACAAGTAGCGATAAAATGAAATCCAGTGTGGGCTAGATTTCACACATACCTTCCTCTGTTGTAGCCGCCACGATTTCCTCGTGAGTATGAGTTGTAGCCTCCTCCATGACCATAGCCACCACCTCCATAGCTGCCACCGCCACTTCCTCCTCCACCACTGCCTCCACCATAGTGGAAGTTGCCATGGCGTGGGGCATTATAGTTCATTGGATACCTGTAAAGAACATCACATAGTGTAATTAAATTGCAACCAAAATTACAGTACCCTACTTATTCATTAGTCATAACTACACATACTGTTGCTGATATGGGGCAGGAGGGTGTGCAAAATTATCCCTTGATCCTTCACCTGCACCTTTCCGATCAGGACGATTTGATGGATGTTCTGGTAACTGAGGCCGTTTTGGATCTTTAAGGTAGTTGTTGAAGTATTCAACCTAGATAAAAGAATGATTTAGAGTGAATGACAATTTTGGTTAATTACACAACCATTGCATTACAAATTACACTATAAAACTATAACACTATAAAACAGGCTTACCTCTTTCTTTACTTCCTCAACTTTCTCACCATGTTTGTTGAAAATATGCTTTCTTACGAATTCCGGCCCTTTAAACTTTTTACCTGAAAGCGGACACAACCACTTGTCCTTTGCAAGTTCTTGTGTGTTTGCCTGCACAAACTTCTCAACCTCGCTAAGTCATTAAGTTAAGGAAAAAAATGACACAAGGAAAAAGAAATATCTTGAAATTCATCCCTATACAGACTTAAGTAAATCAGCTACAATGGCAAGGATACGAATCAGCTTCCTTGGCTCCAAGTTTGGAGTATTCCTCATCAGCAATCTTTGAGGCTGGTTGCAAGAAAGATGCTATCTTCTGTTCAAACATTCTGCAATAATCAGTAATTTCTTGCTGGGTAACCTGTAAAATGAAATATTAGTATCAAATAAGCACAATAACTGGCTAGAAAATTATGAAACACAAAGGGTCAATTTACCTTGGTTGAGGGTGGTGTGCCGCGAGCATGCATAATACCACATCGGTTGGGCATTTCATCTTCATTAGGATATTCACAATGATTGTAGTAATCTACTGAATGCACGATACGCAAATACAAAAGCAGCTTATCCAATACCTATAAGAGAGAAAAATTACATAAAAATGGATAGAAGCACCAAGAGCTGCATATTTGATGATTAGGCTCACCTTAGTCAGCTGGTCATCTCGATCTACAGTTGCAACTTCTTCTACCTGGCCTTCTTCCTGGTCGGTACTCTGACCTAGAAGTTCTTCCTCCTCTGCAGATGCTTCTTCTATTAAGTAATCTGTGATGTTTTTGAGCACTGGGTTTTTAGACAGCAGCCCAAATGACTGAAAAATATAAGTTATGTATTACTGAAATCTTAGAAATGTTAATATACAGCACTGACCACCAGGGTCTAAAAAGTACAATCTATTTGTTAATACCTGACTGTCCGTTGGCTTTTCAGCTTTGGGGGCTTCAACTTCTTTCGGTTCTTGTGGTTCTTCTTTCTTCTCGTTTTCATTGTTATCAGTAGCATCAGGAACGTTTTCACTGACCCATAGTCCAGCCTTTTCATCTAAATTGTGCACTATTTTGGCAGTCAGTTTGATATCATGACGTACTACTTGTTTGTGAGAAGTGATGCCAGAAACAGTTCTTATCCTGCGGCTCAAATCACGATTCACGATTGCACCTAATTCACAATCTCTCAATCTTATGTTGTTGAGATTCCAACATATTTCCTTAATATTCACTTGTCTTTCAAAAGTAACCCAGCCTCTTCTAAACCAACGTCTATCAGGCTGAGGATCAGCAATGGCAACTCTTAAAAATCCAGGGTAACGTTTGCACATGGCTTCCACTTCCTGTTTGGTTATTGTGGGTGCAAGATTGCGAAGAAATATGGAAGCTGTGCGATGCAATGGCCTTGGTTTCAGTTTTTCCTCTTTCTTTTTGGCTTCTTGTTCAGGGACATCTGATTCCTTACCATCTTTCCCATCCTCACTCTTCTTACTCTCATCCCCAGCTTCCTCAGGTCCTTGCTCAGCATCAGACTTGTCTGCTCCGTCTTCTTTTTCTTTCTCTTCAAGAGTTTCAGATTTGACTTCATCAGACTCTTTTTCATCAATTTCTTCTTTGTCCTGGTGTTCTGCTTGATCACTCTTGTTGTCATTTTCAACAGCATCCACATCCATTTTCTCTTCATCCTCATCCTTCATTTCAACCTTCTTCTCTTCTTCTAAATCTTCAGGAAGAATGTCTTCTTTTTTGTCTGCTGACAGACTTGCAGTGTTTTCAGCGTCATTTTCATTCCCATTAACACCTGTGAGAAAAATGTTCACATTAGTTGCAAGGCATCATTTGGGCAAAACTTCAGAAATAGATATTTAGACATTACCGTTTTTGCTTGTTTCAGCAATTGGCGAGGAAGGTCCCTCCTCACCACTGTCACTGCCACTATCATCATCATTTCCAGAATCATATTCCCGTTTTCGTTTCTTCCCTGAAACCAGATTTAGGATAAAGCAAATAAGTCAAGAAAATAAGAACAAATTTTGGACTCGATTTGAGGAATAAAATGACTTACCTTTAGTCGTAGGAGGCTTAGTATCATCAGCAGGTTTCTTAGTATCTTTTTTGTCTCCGGTATCTTTCCCATCGTCACTTTTCTTGTCACTGTCATTAATAATATTTGAAATATGATTTAGATGTACAGGATAAGTAACTGATGCAAAATTCTGTGAGACTGATTAAAAAATATTATACATAAATGTACATATGAATGTACACCATACTTACTCAGTTATATCAACAGTTTCAGTCAGTTCCTTTCCCTTTGAACTAGATCCTGAAAATAGGAAAGTGTGATAAGAAGTTGGCTTTAACCTCACTGTCCATGTCCCCATAAAATACTAAAGTGCTAAGATATATTTTTACCTGAAGATTTGGTTTCCTCTAAAACTTGTAAATCAAACTCAGTACCTCCTTCCAACCGAATGACAACAGCATCCAGTAAATTTACCAGCTGCTCCGACTGGTCATTGTCAACAGAAAGTTTATCCAATCTTCCATTTTCAACAAACTCCATGAAAACATTGACTCTAGTCTGAAAATAAATCATGAATAATTTTTAAGCGTAAGAACTTTGCCTACACAATTAATATGAAGATAAAGCATATTGCAGTACTTACTGTTAAAGCTGCCATTTGCTCCTCTTTCCTTTTGATAGCTTCTTCAGGATGGTATTTGATCTTAAACCTGTTGCCCAAACGAAAAAAAAGAAAAGAAAGATATGCATTAAAAGATAAGATTTAACTGTACAGAGTGAGTGATGTGCACACAGTCCATGTTAAAAACTAACAGCAAGTTGATAAAAACTTGCGCTGCAATGTATACATAGATATACACGTATAATACTTGGTCATTTAACAATGTATCCATAAGAGCACCAGTCATGCTTTTCTTAGATTGCCTCGCTTTGCTAAACTGAGCCCAACTCAGCCTTTACAGAAGAGTAATGATAGAATTCATCAGGAACAATCTTAGTTAATATTTCTACCTTACAGCATTAACATATGAAGCTAAAACAGAACACAAAATACTCACTAACACAAGCAAATGCAAAATCTGAATAGAAAGAAGAGTATACTCATTGAAACTGAAGGTTATCGAGTTCCTTAGAATACCATGATAGCACTTAAGAGGTTCATGTGGGAATGCGAGGATCTGTTCTCACCTGTGTTGGTCAAGATGTTGGTATTTACAGTTAAGGGAAAAGGACCTATCTCAAACGCATCTGCGTGATACTTGCCATAGCATTGTGCGCTTATGGCATCTATCTAACCTACGGGGAGAATCCATAAGAGGGATATCTCCAAAATCTAAAATGAGTGGGGGCAATAATGAATGGGCAATCCTCTTGAAGATTCACGTTGATGTTGCACAATAAAACAGGGAGGTAATTGATTTCCAACGAATTTCACTTATGAAACACATGATGTTCCAAACATAAACACAATAATACTCATGGCTTCTCAATCGAGCAAAACTCAAAGTGCTGCAGAAAAAATTGACATGGTTAACAGAACTTCATTAAGGTCACTGATGCAAGAAAATAAATGGAGGTGATGAAAAGGATAAATCTTTTAACTCCAGACAATAATAATGAGGCTCCTAATTATCACATACTTAAATTTTGATCATGGAAAACTGAAGATTTTTGATTCCAAATAAGCCTCAAATTTTCAGATAGACAAATGTGAGCTGGAGAGTGTTGTGTATCGGAAAGCAGTGGCAGAGGTGTGTTCACATTCATTAGCACCAATATTAGAAAGAATAAGAATACTTCTAAAGAAAGAAATACTGACCACTCCTCATCTTTGTGCGTGACAAAGAATTCATTCAACTGCAGACGTTTGAAATCCAGCTTGTACTCATTGTACTTCCGGATGGCTTCATCATCAGAAATGTTGTCATCTTGAGTCTGAAGAAATTGCTTGAAAGATTGCATTGGAGGTTGTGTTTCCAGCTGCTGAGAATCCCTGTATTAAAAATGAGGCAAGATTAAAAATGGACCATACAAATTTCACATACTTTAGATGCAAGCTGGTGTCTGATGATTAACTTATATTAGCAATGTCATTGAAACAAATTTAGTACTGTTGACAAATGAAAATCTCAGTTTTTCAAGGTCTGAAGAAATATGGTTCAAAATAAGAATTTGCAAACTTTAAATTAAAAACATAATATTACCATTAATAAAAATCATAAAAATTTAGGAAAGGAAACAAGAGCAAGCCCAACAATAATTCTTTTGTACAAAGGTGTAATGTAAATCACAAGCCAAAAGATTGACAGATATATTCAGTTGAAGAGTAGTGATAGCTCAGAGATAGTAGGAGTATTTGCAGAAAATGTGAAAACAAATCAATTCACACTGCAAGTGCTCTCCTTCTTGCGCACCCACACACCCACAAAAACATTCACACTCTCACTCAAAGCAATCAAACCAAACTTTACCAACTTCAATTTAATTTGAGCACTGTGATACCATACAGGGCAATAACTTCAGATTTTCAGAAGAGCAATACCAAAAAATGTTTATCAGATTCTTTCACTTCCAACGAATTTATAGGACATCGCACTATGAACCTTTAGTTTGACTACTAGATTGTAATGACATGAGGCCCATTTATGGTCACAGATGTCAAATCTCACCTTTCAGATCCACCACTGCCATAAGGACCATGTGCATTACTATAGCCCTGCTGCCATGAAGAACCATAATTGCCGCCACCATATCCTTCATGTGCCCCACCATATCCGCCTCTCCTGTTCACAAAAAACTTGAAAAAATTAATTCCTGAAACTTACGAATGTAAGCCAAGATGGAATAGAAATGGTTGAACTATTGATGAAATGTTAGTCATGTACACTGAAAGAAAATATGTACAAATAGCAAAGCATATCATAACTGTCAGAAAAGCATATTGCTGATATGTACACAAGCTTGGTAACAAAGTTCTGTAAGAGAGATCACAGATTAGGAAATGACAACGCCCTACACTCAAAAACACTTGGTGCAAGAAAAAAACACTGTGAAAGTAAATAAAAACCAAGCTTATGTGTACCAAATCAAAAACAGACACCTCAAAAGACATGCATGTAAGTTTTGCAACAGTACCAAGTTCAAAATGAGTACAAACCATTCAGGGCGCATTCTCTTCATAGGCGGAGAAATATCATGTTGGCGAGGGGGGCTGTAACGGTCACGGCTGCTTCCAGTTCTGTAATCGCGGTAATCTTGACGCTGTCTGTTGCGGCTTCCCCAAGAATCCCTAGTATTAAATAAAAGTATCATCAATGAACAAGAACCGTAGAGAGTATATTAGAACATTTGCTGATACCTGGGAAATTGATTGAAAGGGAATGGTCTCCAAATCTTGGAGGGGAAGGGGCAAGGGGAGTTTCTGAAATAGGGAATTCAGGATGTCAGGTAACAGTCTCTTTTGTTGAATGAACACAAAAATACCTTTCCATCCAGTCATCCCGCCTTCTGTCGTCACCGCTTGTTGTCCTGCGGCCACCTTCTCCACCTCGGTAAGATTCTGTGCGCTCTCCTCTGAATTTGTCGCGTCTCTTCCTGTCATATTCGTCATCACTGTCAGCCATGTCGAACCGTAGAGGTCAGCAGCTCTGCAATGTAAACGCAACACTTAACATCAATGGAAACCATCAAATTTGCCAAAGGGCGCCAGAACCATTAGCAAACCGCGAACAACTACTGTGGGTTGTAAAGTAAGGATGATAGTTTCGGTTGAATAAGGTTTAAATAAAGTTTAGGCATTAACTTAATTAAACGATAATTTTTGTCTGGCATTAAGGTTTTTCGGTTTTTCGACACATAACGGAATAACCTCCAAACGGGCGTTAGTGTCGGCCTACTTTAGCTGGCGAGATACGTTTGCAGTTTCCTTTGATTGGAGATTAAACGTAAAATAAAACAGAAGCTGTACGTAAAATATTCAAAGTTTAGATTATTCGTCAAGATCCTATTCTACGGCGACGAAAACATTCAGACTTACCAGACCAGCAAAACTTCAGCTTCTCAAAAATGATGCCAAAGAAAAAGTCGTCCTGTATTTCGAGTTCGACTAAAAAAATTCGACTTGAAGTTCGAGTCAAACGAGAGAACCTCCATCTCTCGAACTCGAATATGAGAAATTTCTTTTCCGTCTTTCTGTCGTTGATGTTGTTGGTGGGGCGGTAAACAGTAAACATTGAGAGACGTTCAACCAGTTGCCTTGAAGTTGTAGTTTTGTAGAAGTGCAGTAGTAGTTTTAGACGATCTAGAGCCGCCCCATAGTGGCTTCTCTCCGTGTGAACTGTTGGAAGTTCTCGAACACCATGAAGTCTAACCTCGCAGCACTGCTATGTTGCACTGTCTTCGTAGTTGTAGCTTTAAGTTGCGCCGATAGTAGCGATTCCAAACAGAAAAAACTTCAAATTGGAGTCAAGAAGAAAATAGAGAACTGTCAATACCGTGCCAGAAATGGCGATGGTCTTCAAGTACATTATGCGGTGAGTATTCTACGACACATTTTAGCTTTTCCTGAAATTCTTCCACACGTTTATTATTATTAATATCACGGTCACTTCCAATGTTTCAGGGGCGTTTGGTAGATGGAACAGAGTTCGATAGCAGTTATGAACGTAAGCAACCCCTGAGCCTGACCCTTGGAGCTGGTCAAGTCATCAAAGGCTGGGAGCAGGGATTGTTAGGGTAAGTAAACCTCATTGACAATGACACATTGATGTCCGTTGGAAAATAATTTATTTGTTTTGTACCTTCTAATATTTATTGCCTTCTAATTTCTAAGGATGTGTGTTGGTGAAAAGAGGAAGCTTGTCATTCCATCACATCTTGGATACGGCAGCAATGGAGCTCCACCCAAGATCCCGGGCGATGCAACTTTAATATTTGAAGTAGAACTTGTTGCCATTGACGGTAAACCAAAGCATGAAGATGACCTATAAGCATTTTGTTTTTGTTAGCAAGTGTTTGTGCCATTCCAGTTCACAAATAATGATAAGTTTTCTGTGCAAGTCCATTGTTGGGATTGTAATTCCTGTGGTCAGCATATTGTGATTTTTAAAAGTCTGCTTAATAAATTTTTTACACCTGTATTTAACATTAATTCTCTCTCGTGAACCTTTAGTTGTATAATGATTTTTTGCGTGTGTGATATGCAAACTAGTTTGGTTAATGTCTATCAGGTCAAGGTTAGTCTATTTGATCATCATTGTCTGAATAAAATTTGGTGTCGTAGACCCGAGTTTAGGTTCAAACCAATTCAACCGTTTCCATTAAAAGTCCCACACAATTGATGACGGATTGACATTCCTGACCCTTCCCCGAAGAGCCTCTTGCCTGGTAGGACAGAGCTCCATTAAAGTTAGTACATTTCCCGACACGCAACGCGGATCGCGAGCGCGGTGACTTCACTATCTGTGCCTTCTTATCGGAGCGTAGATACGGCAGATACCTTTGTTGTAGGGGGGTGGGAGGGGCACACTGGGTGCGCCCCGTGCGAAACGGCATTCGTCATACCTCAGTCGAGAGAGAAGTGCCGTTTCACCTGCTTGGATATTGAGACTCGTATGCAGCGGCCTCTTACCCGAAAGGGAATAATGTGACACCGCGACGATGGAGTCCTGGACACTCGTCATCCTGGCGCTCGCCGCCACCTTGCATTGCAGTAAGTGTCCGCGGGCGGTGGTACCGCCTACTAGGCCCGCCCTCTTTACTGACTGTGCCCCTGTGTCCTGTGTGCAGGGGGTGCGGGGAGCGAGCGCCTGGGCCTCTCCCCGGGCAGCAGAGTCAGGGCCTCCGTGAGGGGGCTGCCGCGGAACCTGGTGGCCTGCTACAGTGACCCGCGCCTGTTCGCGCGCGAGACCAGGATCCCGATGACCATGGCTAACCTGGTGGATCTCGTGCAGCGAGTTGAACGACAGCCGGGCTTCGTCGCGGACCTGCGTGTTGTGACCACCACGTTGCTGCACAGGTGATACAAATAATTCATCATTTTGATTTTTGCTGTGTCGTAGTGTATCTGACTCAATTTCAGTCTAGATAAGAGCCTGCCCAAGATCTCCCTTCCTCTTGAATTCCCCTGTTGCTTTCGGTTTTACCACGACACCACCAGGTGAAGGCCCCGCCCTGCCCACTTCTTGTATTCGCCCGGGGCTGTTATAAGGCGCCGTGGTACGAGACGATAGGCAAACCACCACGCATGGCTGCATTGCAGTACAGTATTGCTGCGAAAGTACGAACATTAAGGGCTAAGGCGCAGTTATTAGGTCCCCCTACTTGAAGTTGTTTCTGGAGTTTTCACACCATGTACTAACCATTTCCAATGTGGACCCGTAAGGTGCCCCCACCATGCAAATTCCCTGTGGCTGCGGGGTCGTGGTGACGTTCGTACGACAAAACCGATTGGTGTCCAACGTTTCCGCGTGTTTCCGCGTATCAACTCTCCTCGATAACGTTCTCTTATGAAACGTTTCACCGCGCCAGGTTCCGCGTGGACGGCCTGGAGCGCGATCCTCTGGTGGCCGCCGCCCCCGGGGTCACGCCCTACCGGCTCACAGGGCTGCAGCACACCCGCCACAACGTCCTCACGGGCCGGCTGCTCTCCGGCAGCCCCGACTTGTTCCCCGACGGCTCGCTCACCGCCCAACAGGAGGTAATCTGAGACTGACCCGCCCGCCAGCTGCGATGTGCAGGGCGGCCTACCTAGCGAGGCGGTCCCCAGCTCATCTGTTTGTCTCCCCGCAGTGCGCCCTCCACTGGATGTTGTCCTCGGCCGTGGACCCCTGGGAGCGCGGCGACGAGAGGTGGCTCTGCCCTCACGTGCCCACCCCTCGCTCCAACGCGCCGCCGAGCGGCGCGCGCCGCAACCCGGCCGGCGGGGAGGTGTTCAAGCCGCGGCTCTACCCGGACCCGCAGCGGGACGTGGGGCCCTGGGGCGGCGTCAACGTCTCCCCGCCTCCGCCGGTCCAGGACGCCGTCAGCTCGGCGTGGAGCGCCTGCCCCGTGGAGGAGGGCGTGGTGGAGGCGGGCAGCGCGGGCGGCAGCGTGGCGGTGGGGACGGTGCTCGCGGGGCTGGCCGCGGGGCTGCAGCCCCAGGAGGTCCCGCTCGCCTCCCTGCTCAGCGCGACGCACCTCGCCAGGCTGCGCGCCGACGGCGGCCGCGACACGGACACCGTGGACAACCTCTGGGCCGCCACGCTGTCCGGCGACCTGGCCGAGGTGTCGGCCTACCAGGGGCCCGTGTCCGCGGCCGCCGGCGGGCTGGTGCTGGGCCCCGGCGGCGCGTGGAACGACTCGCTGATCCCGCGGGTGCGCTATCTGTCCCGGGAACGGCCGGGCTCGCCGGAGCTGTCCCCGGTGCGCCACTGGGACATGACCGACGCCGAGATCCGCGGCGGGTTCGACGGTGAGGAACCAGCACTGCTTGGCGGAGCCGCGCGAAACTGACTTGAGGGCGTGGCCTGACTTCACCGTGTGTTGAGCAGGGCTGGCGCTCGGCTGGCGCGTGGGCCGCTGGGCGCAGGAGACGGGCCGGCTGCGCCTGTCGCAGATCCTCGACATGTACTACTCGACCAAGGGGAGTGCCTTCGACGAGGACGTCAAGGCCTGCCGGCGGGGCCCCACTTCCGCAGCCGTCTTCTCTCCAGACACGCTGTTCAAGCAGGTGCGTTCCCTTCCCAGAGTTGTCTCTGTGCAAGGGCCCATTCTCGACTTGGTAAATTTTGAAAAACATGCGGGCGGATGTTGGAGACGCGGTGGTCGGTCCGCAGACGTCGAGGTTCGCGCGGACTCTCACCGACTCGTCGCCGGACGCCCCCTACATGACGGAGGCGGCGCTCACCAACTTCACCACCTCCTCCGTCAGGGCCTTCCTGAGGTACGCAGGTAAGGGGATCAGGTTCCGTCCAGACCCAGACACACAGTGTCCCGGTGCCAAAGTTGACAGTTAGGGATCGTTCATAAAATACTTACGGGGTTTGGGGGGGGGG